CCCTCTAATAAATAGTCTTTTTACTTTCATCCTTTCTATTACATTCTTTCCATTTATATTACGTAATTCGTTCGATTTCTTCTCTCTCATCGTCTTTTTTGTTATTTTTATTTCAATTTTCGACTTTCTCCTAAGCTTTATCTTTACATTCTGCTCTGGAATGATTTGTGTTTTTGTTCCCGGAACTCCCACGGTTCTCAGGGCACTGGAGCTAGCCGATTGAATTGTCTTTCAAAATTGACGGATTTGTGTCAGATCACGTGTCAAGATTTCCTTCCCCAGACCAATACATCAAACAACCGCACTGTCAGATTGTCAAATCCAAAGGAAGCGCTACAATAACAACCTAACCTACAGCAACAGCAAACAATAGAAACCAGAAATGAAATAAAGATACAAAGAACAACGGAAACAATATTGTAAACTCGAAATTGAACGCAGAGTCTATAAAAGAAATAGAAAAGGAAGAGTAATCTCCCTTGATTATTTTTTTTCTTTATCCCGTCGTTTAAGTCTTTTTTTTTTTTAGTGTTATTTTGGGGGCTGTAAGGTTAAGAATTTTACGATGTAGAATAATAATAATAATAATAAAAATAATGATAATAATAATAATAATAATAAGCAAAAGTCGAATAACATAGGGAGGATAAAAGCGATGGAAAAACGACCCGAGTAATATTTTAGGGCCTGAATATAACACGAATACGTATAATTTGAGTACCGCGAGATTTTTAATTTTAAATGATTCTAGATTTACGAAATCGTATTTTAAGAACTCCTGTAGAGAGTTATTGTAAACAATATATAGGTTTCCCTTTCTTACATTCACACTCTACTCAGGAATAATCCGCTTTCATTAATTAATTTTGAAATTTTTAGTTTTTTGTTACATTTCTATTCGGTTCCTTAAAATAAATTTCAGCTGATATAAGCAGAGCTGAGAATTAATGTATTTTCAAAACAAACAGATTTTCTCTACTCAAAAGAGATGTTCAACCAATATTAAATTCTCAATATCTAATGTTCCCGAAATTTAGCTAGATTACGGTGTTTACTCGTTCCCCCACGAAGACGAGATATGACACAAGGTCTTTTTAAAGTGGGGACCCGAGCGCGTCCACCCGGGCGAGGGACAAAAATTGCCCACAGCCACCGCAATCGACGGTTGCGGTGGGCTTGGTGCGAGCACCGACCCTTCTCTCTGGTGCAATGGGAGGGCGCAGCCACAGGCAGCTGTTCCCCAGGGCTGGGCACATCTCAGTATTATATTCTCAGTTGCCTCTCTGTCCTTTGAGGGAGAAGTCCCTGAGCGCACTCTGTCCAAGGACAGAGACATAACTGAGAGATGATAAATAATATGTACAAATTATATTATAGTAATATATACACTAAATTAATTTTAGTATAGCAACATTTTCGCAAAAAAAATGGCTCCTGTTTCATTCAAAGTAAATAATTACTGTTAAAATTGTCATGATGAATGAAGTGTGTGAGGCAAATTAAAAAGGAAGAATTCAAAATCTTCACAATTTCACATTCTACATTACTATTCTTTTCATTACGCGAAAAGCACAGCCCATAATTATATGAATTATATATAAATTCGAATCTACTCAGCACGGGTAATAGACACTTATTTTTTTTTGTTGTTTATAAATTAACACATTTATATTAGGTAAATGAAAAAAATAATAGTGGCACATAACCAAATTTGTAGAGCATTCAATAATAAACACGTTCACTCTTTCTTTTCTTTTTCTAATCATTTCATTCCAAACAAGGCGGGAATGCCACTAATACGCAGGGATTGGCTACAGGGAATGAAAGTGAAAGAAAAATCTAGGAATAGGGAGGATTAAGGAAAGGACAAAAAAAAAAAAGGAAAGTGATTCAGGAAGACAGAAGATGGCGATTGACGTTACATTTACATCTTTGAAGATTGTAGTTATCAGGGAAGCAAGTAAACATAATGGAGCTCCATTGTCGGGAATTGCGAATAAAGAAACTCTTAGAGTAAAAAGGTGGGGCCTAGATGCCACGCTTAAATTTATATAGTCGGGACAGCTGAAAAAAAGCTCCTCAGAGAAATTGCGATGAAAATATTTGAAGAAAAGACAGAGGGAATACACCTCATGTTGATGAGGAAGTCATTGAAGTCGTCATGTCTGGTTAAGATCTTTGTCAAGAATCTCTAAATGTACAGGAGGAGAACCAGAGAAGATATGGCAGCAGTATTGAATACATGAATGAATGGCAGATTGGTAAATAAGCAAGATGGATTCTGACGAGAAAAAAAATTCAGGAACGACACAGTGACCTAACTTTCCTTGCAGTAGATTTAACTATTGTTTCGAAGTATTCGTTCCAATTCAAGTCAGTGGAAAACGTCAGGACCAGAAGGCACAGTATATTGCTCTCTTGGAGTCTAGCCTCAGTCATGTTGATTGCATGTAGAAAACGTTTTCTATGGTGGTTAAATCACAAGATTATAGAAAAATCGAAAATATTTCCTCAAGTTTCCCTACATATTAGGATATGTATTTCTTTTTTGTATTTCTATAAGGGGCGTATAATTGTTACCATAAAGAATAGGAACACAAAAGGAGGTTCGGATTTACTTACATATGTTATCAGAAGGCCAGAAAATTAATGGATATTCTTGAACTATTGTTATGTCCAATGTTTTCACAAATATCAAATTGTTAATACCTAAATTAAAACAAATAATGTTCATGATATCTTTACAAAAAATATCGACCTCCGAAAACATAAATCAGTCTATTTTTTAAAAAAAATGAGTTAAGTTAATTTTATTTTCTTCATTAGGAAACGTTTGATTTATTGTCATTTTTTTAAACGATTAATGATTTTTTCTCTCTCTTTTTTTTTCCTGGATAATTATTACTGAAAGCGTGTTTGTTGAAGAAACGGCGATGTTTTTCCTCACTTCACTTTGTAGTAGTTTTATTCACTTTCGTTTTAAAGTGTCCGTTTAAAAAATAATTCAATATATTTTGTGATACACTTTTTGTGTTTGGTAAAACTTGATGACAAAAAAAAGAGAGGTCATATATTGTAAGGCAATTTATCAAGGCCTATAAAAAGTGCAGCAAGAATCGCAAATCTGCACGAAACATTTCCTCCAATTCGGTATAAACATGTAACACAAGTAATCTTTTATTACAAACATATTTTAAGTGTGGGATTACTTTGGTTTTTCTACCGGGGGACTTTTCTTCACCGCTGCTTGTTTGCGTTGTATATTTCGGTTTAAAAGAAAAAGACACAAATGGTCTCACTTCTTTTCTTTTTCTTTTTTTACACTTTCAAGCACATAATACTAGAGTAAAAAGACGTGTCCTTTTTCCCATGTGGAAAGGCTTTTTATGCTCTGAGACGAGCCACTTGTCGCATATTACACACTAAACTAACAAAAACAACGCCTTAGACTGGAAATTGTAAATGCATCTAATGACTGGAGTGATATATGAGATGCAATGTATTTCCATGATGATATAATAATTCATGTTATTACTTTTATTATTATTATCAGTAGTTGTCGTAGTAGTAGTAGTAGTAGTAGCAGTAGTAATATTTTATCGGTATTAGTCTCATAAGTGTATAGTTTTGTAATTTGAATTTGAATCATTTAATTATTTACAGTATTTACATTAGTCGGACTATTGTCCTCATCTTTGTCGCCATATTTTTCACAACGTTTCGGCCGTTGTACGCTCCGGCCTTCTTCAGGTGGTCGGAATTTCGAACTAACCCTTTATTTTGATCACTGGGGTAGACTGTTCTAGTTCCACGTTCCATGTTTGATGGATGCCCATTATCTTTTTCCTGGAAAGTCACTGCCTTAACCAGGTTTGAACTCATCTTTCTTTTTCCCTCTAACCAAGCCATCTCAGACCCAAAGAAGATGAGTTTAACCCGGTTATTGAACTCATCTTCTTTGGGAAAATTAGCTGTAACTAACTGACATCCATCAAACATGGCCTTTAACTAGAAACAGTCTACACCAGTGATCGAAATAAAGGGTTCAGTTCGAAATTCCAACCACCTGAAGAAGGCCGGAGCGTACAACGGCCGAAACGTTGTGACAAATATGGCGACAAAGATGAGGACAATAGTCCGACTAATGTAAATGCTGTACATAATACCTCATCTCAGAAATATAGACAGATTTAATTATTTGTTGTTAATGTAATAAGTGTTTCTCTGTTAGCAATACAAAAGATACACCGAAATCTGTGAGGAAAATCAATAAGAAGAATACTAACTCTGTTGTCAATCAGCGCATCACTTCATTTTTCAGAATGAATTGGGTTTGTTTCCTTATGATAAACTAAACCTTATGTTAAGTGAAGGGCTAGGAACTAGGAATCTTTTTTCTAAAATATCATCTTGCACTAAACGAGGAGACATCAAGTATTTTTTTATTCCTCTAGTTGTACAGATTAACCCGGACATTTTTCTTAAAAAGTTTAAAGTTACTACTTTTTGCATGAGCTGTGAATACAAAATGAATACAATTAAAATATCAATTTATGATGTTTATCGGAATGAATGAGAAAAAGAATTTAAAAGAATTCAAAATAAAACAAGAAAGACTGACTGTAAAAAATGATCTCTAAGATAGAATGAATGGGTATGAACGAGAAAAAAACGAAAAATAATCGAAAAACCTGGTGAATAAATAAAAAAAGAATTAGAAATGTGCAAAAAAAGGATGTAAAAATTTCATATAAAGAAATAATGAATGAAAAAAGAATGAGAAAAACAAAGAAAGATTGAATGAAAAAGAATTCGGTAATGTGAAACTAAAAATACGTAAGAAGGAGAGAAAACGGTAGAAAAATAGAAGTAGAAGCAAAATGACATGAGTTTAACAGAAAGAAAGAATATAACATTTGTTAAACATGTTCTCAAAATTGATAGCCTTTATGATAAATCTAATATATCCGTTTTCGGGGAAGATCTACCCACTCTATTTC